TATAAGGGGGGAAATTTTTCCAGTTACTAACTTGTGTTTCCACCGCATACGTCCCCTACGTCAGGATATATATTTTGGACCAGTTGCAGAAATTGATAATTATCAAACACTACTGGCTTCGGGGTTTACCATCCAGAAATCCGCCTTAAATTTTCAGGATGCTAGTTGTGACATAGAGGGTCACTCTCCTTACGAGGCATGGTTTTCTGGGTCAGAAAGACCCGAGTTATTGGCAGTTGATCAAGTGGCTATTGATCTGTTTGCCGAGCTTGACAATTGACTTGCAGACGTTTCGTCATCATTCCAGGAGACATCATCAGTGCGCTGTTGAGTGGGTGGTTCCATTCTTCATGCTTGCGTTTACATAGTTTACGAAGAGCAGCTTTATGCTAGAACCTTATTGGCTACTGATTCTGATCTGGACCAGTAAGACACAGATTGGAATGACTGTCAGGTTGCAGTTTAAAGATGCTGTCCGCAAACTATATGAACACAAGCACGAAGAGAGGAACTAGCCGCCCACCAGCGCACTGATGATGTCTCCTTGAATGGTAACAGAACATATGCGAGTAAATGGAAACGCCCAGCGAGAAGATCAGTGCCCACCTGATCAGTTACTAATGAATGCATCCGAACTACTAACAGTCCAACAAAAACCCCAGTTACGTACTCACTACAAGTAAGCGATCATCTAACTGCTGGATACCTTAAAGCAACCCTTCATTTTGGGCCGATGTACGGAGAAGTAGGACGAATGGATGCAAATGCCCACCTCAGTTTTGACTGTGCTAAACTGTTCGGTGGTGCAAATCCTTGAGGAACCAAAATTAATCCGGCTAACAGACGTTTATTACCCGCAAGTTACGTCTTTCGGTGGATTTTACACAACTCGTTGTGGAAGCTCTCGATATATACGCATCTTAATAAGCGGAAAAGCCCGTGCAAGAGTGATGACTAGGTTATCACTGAAAATGAGAAACACCTTGAGATCGGTACATCATTCCAAAACTGCCTTAGCAAACCAATAAGCCCTGGATATGAAACCCCGATGCTACAAGTGTAACGGTGATACTACTAATGGGGAGCATGCGAGTAGTATTTTTTTCTCGTAAATCCGCTTTGTGTCTCCGTAGTATTTGCTTGCGACTGAGTAACAGTCAATGAATAACCGGGAAAGTTCAGGAAGACGCGTTTAAGGAGAAGATGAATATTCAGTTTTGTGAACAAGATGCGTATGAGAGTTTTGCCCCCCTGTCCAATAATCTGTAACTGTTCAGCTGGCATTTTCCACTAAATAACTCCGCAGCGAAGGCCTTCTTCCTTCCACAAGTAGGTACTTATCATCACGGGCACTGTGCCTACCAAGTCATCTGATCTGAACTTCCCGCTGTGTAAGCAAACATAAATCTGTCGACTGGATTTTTGTACAGTCTCATTCTCAGCAGCTCACCGAACGAGATTTCTCCTCGCGTCTGTGCCACACGATACAGCTATCCTTCTCCACCGAGTCTGTCGACTGTGTGATAACGTCAACGGACAGTTATAGATACGGTCAAATAGCACAAGCGTAAACAAGTCGACCCGTTTCAATGTGACCATTCAGGTGTATCCAGCGTGGAGTCGCGGTAATACGCTCTTGTTGCATGTTAGACGTCTGGAGTTCTCATCCGGATAAGGCCAAGAACAGGCACTGCTGACTAGTTTTAATAAGAGCAAAACTTGGGTATGGTGCTTCTCCCAACCAGAATATCCACACCAAAACAGGATGAGAACTGTTCGAATGAGACTTGGGGCTTGCGCGAAAACGAGAAACCGAAACTTTCCCCTTTTTACCATCACTCGGAAGCATGACAGGTGCTTACAAACGACCTTACTTTGCGTAGCTCAATGATACAACATTTGTAGGACCTGGCCTCATGTTACTTACTTTGTGACTGATTTCAGTGGGACGGTAAATAAAACTTACCGCCCAGACGGGACTCGAAATAGCTCAGTAGTTAAGGTGCGAACAGAAGGTTCCTGGTTCGAACCCAATCCGACCATCTCGACCGTATCTGTCTAGGAGTGGGCAGCCTGGCAGTATTTCAACCCTCATGCGGGTGGCATTTTAACTAGGCACCGAAACAGTGTTCCATCTAAAGTAGCTTTTGCACACTGATTGAAGAGTTACGTGGGAAGTGCTTTAGCATTTTGAGGTATCTAAGGCTGAAACCACTAGCTAGTGTGAAGAGGTAGCCACTTCACCAAAACCCAGTTTCCACTCGCTCATCTCCTACAATGGCAACAACAAGAACTCACATCAATCACTTGTTTCATTCTGCTGCGTTGGTTTTCCACGTTCGTCATAAATAAGCTGTAAAAAGTTTTCGCAAATTGTGGACCGCGAATAAACACGACAATAGTGGCTGTAAGTTTCTGTTATAAGCGCTGCATTCTTGGATAAATTGATGCCAAAAAACATCAGATAAAATTCGGACATCCTCGGTGTGTAAGAATGTGAACGGCATCTTTGTTCGTGTAACGGATAGTAAACCAGTAGCCTTATAGCGTGGAAGGTCACGCCCTTTAAGCGGTACATGACTACCCGCCTATTTTAAAAGTATATCACAGTATTAATGTAGATTAGTGATTCAAGCGCCAAATTACTGACGGGACGGACCGTAGTCCAAACCCACTCTCAGTAATCTGACTTTTATTGTTCAGAATTTGACAATAAATCACCCTTTCCTTAGATTTGCATAGCAGGTAGGTGCCAAACGGGTGTTACAGGTGAACCAGAAATACCATCATCAATGAAAAAGCAGTATCCTGTTTTTTGGTTGTTGATCACGTGGCCGTTGCTCCTTTCACGGGGAGTGGCAACGGACTTGCAACAGTCTCGCCACCAGTCAAGGCGGCGAGGCACTGTAGACGGCTAACGATCGCCCAAATAACAAACGATTCTGAAGAAACTGGTACTCTAGCCGCTTTCAGGAAACAATACGGCACTTTATATTTTAGGGCGAAGCTGCTTCGTACACCCGACTAATACGCGTTCTACCGAAATGGATCTACTGCGATCGAGAAAATGATCCTACCAGTTAGCGAAACACTCATTTACAAACAAATTTGGTTGTTCAGGAGACTCACCTGAAACCCATCATAAACGAGAGATTCAGCTGGGCTCAAGGTGAGTCTCCCCCAAGACCAAACTTGTTTGTAAGTGAACATATTCAGCTAATTTCGTGTAATTTTGGTTCACGTAGAACATAAGGTTGACAGAAACTAGGGGAATTCGCCCACCTGAAGAGGATCGAAACCGGTCGGGAACTGTCAAAGAATTTCAGCAACCTTGTGAGTAGTGTATTACGATCCTACCAGTTCTTTCACCGATGATTATTTGCATACGTCTACGAAGTTCACTGGGGATTCAGTGCTCTGATTCTTTATTGAATTCTTAGGAGATTTCCGTTACGTGTTTCAGGGAGATATCTTGCGGAAGTGGTCATGATTGTGCCAAAAAGCGGGAAAAAGGCATCAAATTATTTGATTACAGGGGGCCCTCATGAGATTTCTACCTGTTCGGTTTGTTATACCTTCTTATTTAGACAGCTGTCATGCTGCGCTCATCTTTCTGGTGACATATCCTGCTTCAGCACATGGGTATAAAAGGGGAAGTCAACCTTTTCCTGGGCGACCGAGTAGATAATACTGTGGGCTATCGTTCGGATGACCCAGTTTCGTCTCCTTCCATGGTGCTCCCAGTCTAGATTCGGTTCTCACATACTGCTTCAGAAATAGAGACGCAAATCATTGCTACGCGACCGTTCTTCACCCACGGTGGGTCCAAACAATCGGAAGAAATAAAATTAGCGCTGCTGAGTGGAAGAGCACCAATCGGCCGTATACGGCTGAAGGAATTCTATGGAGTGTAACTAGCAAACGATACTGGTTCATACACACCTCTGCATTTAGCTGACAGACCAGGAACACCCACTGATTATGAAAGGGTTCCTCAAAACACGTGAGACCGCATGCACGGTTTTTCCTTGGCGTTCAGCTAAAACGTCCTACTTGTTCGAAAAAGCTATACCACAGGTGACACTGAACATCACTTAACAGTCATTTGCCAAACAGGTATTCAGGCACAAGCCTGCTAACCCGTGTGGTTGATTCTAAAGTCACTTTTGGCAGGCCGCATTCGGTTCACTGAACTCTCCGATCCAGCAACTGTACGCTACCTCAAGAGAGGAGTCAAAGTAAGCCAAAAACCGCGATTCAACTCCAGTGGACCTCAAGAGTACCAAAACCAGGAACTGACAGGAAAACTGGGTACTACAGCCCAGTGGAACATGTTCTACCCTCGCCTCCATCCGAGTACAATCAGGAGACGAAGACATTATTCTCCCAGCTTTGACGGCCTACAATCGACCTTCTCAGATCTTTATAATGTCTGCCCACTGCTAATCAGAGTCGACAATCAATCACGTGATTCAAGAAAAGTTTTTCAAACAAGACAAGCCACATTTAAGGACCAAAACTTACCATCAGGTACTATAATTTCCTCGAATTTCGAAGCATATTCCTCAGTCAGTATGCTCTCACTGTCCGAATCCTCACTCATAAGTAGCACGCTGCCGAAACGCACACTCTGGGTTATCATTTAACGATGTGTGGACACCTAAACCGAGCCGCTTTTGAACGATGCGGGCTGTGCGATCGAGCAAGACAACCGTGGGTTGAGTAAGATGCGGGTCAACTCATGTGGATGTCCTCGTGCTTAACCGGTTATTTTAACTAACTATTTGGCTTATCGACATAACTGTGTTGCTAGGTACTGCAATGAACTAAGGTTGTGTGAGGCTGATTGACTGGCTAAAAAATAAAACAATATGCAAGCGACCTTCCTCTGGAAGTCGCGCGAATTCGGGACTGGTCAAAAGAGCATTTCACATGGGAACACACTTTCCTTGGAGGGACACAAGATTTAAACCCTAAACCTACGAATCTCTCGCTACAGCTCCAACGCACATGGGCTACAGGGGCAGACAAATTTGGTTAGAATCATCTGGTACGAATCATACCGATGATGCTTTTTTCCCAGTTCAACTTCAATTTAAACTTCAATTTTATCTATAAACCGTGTACCAAAGGCACCCTTGTCCGAGGTGATACAGCCTCGAAAATGGGGGGGCGATACAGCCAAACATCTGAGGCAATCGCTTGTTCACTTGGTGTGGAACCTGAGCGGCTATGAACTGAAGGCGATAGGTTTGATACAGGAGCGCCACTGATTGCCCGACTGAACCGTTTTTCAAAGTGTCATTAGCCATTGGTGAGTTGAGTCTCGGCGTTCCCATCCAGGGTGGGGGCGTCAGTTTCTCAACCTGACTAGATTTATCGGTTACTATTTTTATGTTTCGTTACAAGATAATAGAATGTCTACCTCTCGTTCAGTTTCAGCCAATACAGGACTGGGCGAACTGAGCCCTGTGAGGCAGACGGTCCTCTTACATGCGTAGTACACGTCCCAACCAGCGCAAATTATAGACCATAAGGAATTCATCCATCGCGGGAGAGTTTCTTCTTCCGAAAATCATCTGGCATATACCAAGATTTCTGATCCAATATTTTCACCAGATCCGATCGATGTTTTGGAGACACCGATGGTCAAACGCCGACCTCTTCCGTATGTTCCTTGCGAGTGGAGGCCACGTCTCTGATCCATAAGGCAGTACGGATTGCACCACCTCAGTGTAAACTCTAAACTTGACAACAAACTGACGTCCCTTCGGCATCATAGGTGTTGTAGGTTGGCAAAAGCTGCTCTGGTTTTCCCAATTGTATAAGTAATATCGCCTCCAGCCAGTTCATCAGAATTTACACAACTTCCAAGGTAAACAAATTTATCTTTCACGTCAGTTGGCTCGTCTTATGACAGTACTTAACGTTTTGAAGGTGTGAACGCATATAAAACTGTGCTGCAGAATTATTTAGATTATTTAAGACGGTTCGTATTTTTGAAGGATCTGAACCAAGTAGAGTCATCTTGTCCGCATACTCAATGTGTGTGCGGTCGAACGTCCCGGGGTTATTTCAACTCCCGAGGTTTCAGAGGCAGGCGGAAGAAATTCAAGCAGTGTATCGGCAAGAAAGGAGAGAGGGTAGCCCTCTCCTAAACTACTGGACGTGGTGGGCTCACGCGAAGCCTTGCCATACATGTACCCCCGTCCGCAGGAGTTCGCGTGCAGTGTTCAAATAAGGGATATAAATTTTGAAAGACACCCTGGATCACCAGATATCGCCACAGTTTCTGGCGGTCGACAAAGGCAAAGGCAGCAATCAAACTCAGAAAAGCGACCAAAGTGGGACGTTTGAAGGGGCGATGCTGTCCTGAGTTAAATATATGGTCGATGCATCCTTGGCTAGGGAGAAACCTAGTTCAATTCTCACAACTCTCTCCCTCCCGATACTCGAGTAACCTGCACTAAATGATGCCCAAAAGCAAATTAGAAAGGTCGGATACCAGGCGGATGCCACGATGGTCTTCGCCCGTTTCGAAGACTGTGAAAACCATCGAGGAGCTCCATTCCACTGACATTACGCTTCCTTTCCAGATAGTCTAAGGAAGGAAGTACTCTTCCACGATAGATGAATTACTTACGCTCCATAGTTTACACTGGTTGGAACGTGTACTACGCATGTAAGAGGACCAGGGGGCAGAATGGACCAAGTGGTTAGATCGCGAATTTACTGACCGGAAAGTCTGTGGTTCGAACCCGACCTGTGCCTCTCGACTTCCCCTGTTTAGGCTTGGGCGACCTGGCAGTATACCAACCCTCGTGCTTCCTTCGGGTGGCATGGCAGTTAGGCACCGAAAAGGTGCTACAGCTGAAAGATTATTTAGGTGTGACAGGACCGTCTACCCCGCAGGGCTCATTTCGTTCAGTCCTGTATTGGCTGAAAGTGACCGAGAGGTAGACATTCTATTATCTGGTAACGAGACATGAAAACAGTAACCGGTAAATCTAGTCGGGTTGAGAAAGCAGTGCGCCCCCCTTGGGTGGGGATACCGAGGTTCAACTCACTAATGGGTGATGGCACCTTGAAAATCGATCTCAGTGGTGCACCTGCATCAAACCTATCACCTTCAGTTCATAGCCGCTCTGGTCCCACACCAAGTGAACAAGTCATTGCCTCAGATGTTTGGCTGTATCGCCCTCGCTCTCCCATTTCCGAGACTGTAGCAGCTCAAACAACTGCACCCTTGGTACACGATAAACCGTACTGAACCGGAGCCGGTTATTTCACACCTGGGGAAGTGTGCCTCTATGAGAAGTGGTGCAGTGCTCTTCACTCCATGTATACTTGAAGGTGTTTGTGTCACATGGCGATGATAAATTTGAGTAATCCGTAAACAGCTGACGCTGATAAACAGCTGTCACTTTCATATATAGAGTCTTATCACACCTGGGGAAGTGTGCCTCTATGAGAAGTGGTGCAGTGCTCTTCACTCCATGTATACTTGAAGGTGTTTGTGTCACATGGCGATGATAAATTTGAGTAATCCGTAAACAGCTGACGCTGATAAACAGCTGTCACTTTCATATAGTAGAGTCTTACGCAACATAACCAGTGTTGCCGTACAGGATTAAGCTATCTTGCTTCACGTATGTGGCACTCCCGATCACTCGTACATCCATCATCTAGGCATGCAAGCAACCGGAAAATGTTGGCGCACCCGTAACTAGCTCTCCACCCGAGTGAGTGGATCGTTTTTATTGGGAAGCTCTCTCTTTGATCCATCACACATCTCTTGACTCAAATCAGACCAGGAGATTTCGCTCACTACCTTTGGGAGAGCGCTGTTGAAAGTGCACGCTGTACTTTAGTTGATCATCGAGTTTCTGTCACTGTCACCATAAATTGACTGAGTGACCCGCGAGTGCAGTAGATAGACTGCGAGAAATAAATCCGAGTGAACTAACCAACTGGCCTATCCTCTTCCCGATTCAAACCCATTTGAACCGAACACATGCACTCAATGAGGACAAAAGAATATCGCAACCCATAGGCAATCATTTGAACCCTGAGTAGCTTTGGCATTGGCCTCGACAAGTGGGCCCATGTTGGATCGGCCAAGTGAACTGCTAGTTAAAGGTCATGAGTTATTGATTTTACGATCAGCTGATCAATTATACTCGAAAATTTTATTTTGGCCGTCCGATACGCCGTTGGGTCGATAGCTAATTAGGCTAGCCGTTTAACTACTTACGCGGAATTAGTAGTGGAGAAAACCACAAGGTTGTGGCCACTATCAATGTGCGTCATTCGCCGCGAGATTGGGGCTGCAATACAATGAAAATTGCTTGGTGATGAGAACGTCAACCTATGGGTTTGATTTGGATTTATTCGTGAGGCCGGGGATATTAACGTCTTACGGAGAACAGCTTAGTTCGGTATCGATCAACCATCGAAATATTTTACTGGTGTTTCCACCAAGACCACGAATGATCACAAGTGACTCAATGAAGGCGCGAATAAGGGATGAAGCCGGCTATGAACAGATTTCCATTACAAGTTCTCTCAATTAGGAGTGGACATTCACTCAGGCAATCTGGATAGGAACTGACAACAAGAACGCCCCTGACATCGGTTGGTAGCCATATCTTGTAGTGTCTCCAACTAGGCACAGTGAGGATCACGCGGTCCCCATCCTGGAAGGCGAGTGGCACCGACAGCACCCAAGCGTTTAGTGGTCTCCTTCATACTCCTCTGCCAGGTCATGGGTTGGACACCTCTCTGAGCTGAGCAAGGAAAACAGCACTCTCTTCGCAAACGAGAGTGTCGTCTCAATACGGTATTCACATAGTGTATCCATTCTTAACTGCGTACTATTTTGGGTCACAGTCTGTCTTACACCCTAGCGCCCTTTAGCAGACCTTTTTGACAATTCCTTCTAATTGCTTCGTTATGGGTACGCCGACACCAACTCACACAAGCTATGGTTCTGAGACAACGATTGTCGAACGGCTGAAGACGTCTCAGTTCGGTTGCTTGAATAGAAGGATAACTGCGTAAAAATGTTTCAAGATTTTCTCTCAGTGACCGTTAGACTAATTCATCGCTTGTAAGACTACCACAACCACTCAGATGAAGTTCCGTGGCTAGAACCCAACCTCTGCCTCTCGAGTTCTCTTGTCTAGGCTTGAGCAACCTGACAGTATTCCCGCCGTCGTGCTTCCTTCGGGTGGCATGGCAGTTAAGCACCGAAAGGGTGCTACAACCGAACATTTTTTTCTTATCTGACAACCCCACCTGACACCCAGGATGTTCACGTACGAAGCTATTCACGAACCCAAGTACTTCGTCATGATGACGGTACCGCGACTGCCAGCCTGATGGCCTGTCCGTAGTTCACCTGGTCTATCGTTCCCCGGTAGAGCGTGTTACACGCACTTAAAAAATCGTATGAAACCGCTAAATTTGTGCCAAAACTCCGAAGTACTGGCCACCTTATGGTACCATCTGATCACGGTGCCCAGTGCCATCAAGGTGAAAAGATGACCTTGCCCTGCACCCAATACGACGTGTGCAATCCCACTAGCTGCAACAAATTCTTTGGCGCTGACCAGCGAGACGCCTATCGCAAAGATGGCAAACACTTTATGAGTTTGCGCGGAAAAAGACAGCATTGTTATTTCGCATGTGCTCCTTCAAAATATTTCCAAATCAAATACAGAAGAAAACGCGTGAAGAAACCAGCTTCTGCACAAGACTTCCCACCGTGTTCACGGAGAGATCACGCTGAGCCATTGCAGTCATTAAAAACTTGAATTCCTTGACCAAATTGATGAAGCCTGAGTGCGCTTAAGGTTTTTTAGCAGAACTGCTAATCTGAAGAGATTTGAAGGTACCGAATAAATACCGTCAACTGCTAACATTTCATCTAGAAGTTTCTTTGGTTCGAACCATGGTTTCAGAGAAGTTCGGGTAGGCCTGTTAACCTCGGATTACAGCTAACCTGGACGGAGGACAAAATGTCGACACAGTATAGCAGTTAACCTTCATCCTCAATTCAATTCACAGGTCGGAATCCAGAAATATTCGGGAAATGGGATTTAGGCAATTGGGTATAATGCCGACGGATGCTTTGCGCTATTGGTGGTGGATACGGCTAGATGAAAACCACGATTCAGGTGCTGTACGCCAAACGCGCGTGGGATTATTGATACGGAGTCAGGAGTAGGTAACCAGCCGCCAATTTATTAGTGATATCATCATCATTGTCATTTGTAATAACCGCGTACTCGTCGTACAGTGGTTGTAGCTGCCGCAGTTTCGTTCACCGATCATTTGGAGGGAGGGGTAGGTAGCTGCGCATTGCAGGCGGAAGCTGATAAGTTGGTGCATAAATCCAGCACTGTCAGTGGGCTGTCGAGTGGTGGGGGTGGAAAAAGAGATATGCATTGAAGGCAATAGCTTGGATGCACGAGCGCCATTGAGGGCACGACTGGGCCATGTCTGACAATGTCTCTAGCCATTGATGTGGCCCGTCTCGGGGTCCACATCCAGGAAGACGGCAGTGACCAG